AGTGGTGCTCCACGCCACCTACCGCCCGGTGGTTGTAACCCCGGAAACACTGCTTTTGGACGAGACAGGTGCACCACGCAGTGTAAACAACTTTACATAGGGTGGTAGCAACCCCACATCCCCCCAACCTTAATTCAAACCATATTCTGAAAAAGAACCAGCTACATAAGCTGTAACAAAAAAATGAAAACCCATGTCTCTAAAGAATGTCCGTGCACTTTGACACCTCCACCGGTCAACACTGCTGCACTGTCCGGCTCGACATCATCTCAGTACTGGTCCCCCAACAGCAACGTTGCCGTCGGCGCGACGCACCGTCACTAGCGCCTACATGTCTTCCAGTTGCGACCAGCACTCACAAGGGCACCGAACTGCAGGCAGTTGCGCAGGTTCTAGGCATCCCTATCGCCCGAGCTCACGACCGCATTCCTGGCCAGTGGCGCTGACGATGTGCAGAAGACAGCCAGCGGTGGATTACATAACTCCCGCTGCGTACATTATAAAACACTCGACAGAAACAATGGAGCAGGGCCTAAAGAAGGGAGCTTTGGGCTTTTCGGCCACGTGGTATGTTGGTCAGCACTGCCAGATAATACATCGGCGGTGGCCGAGGCGCCCATCAAAATAAAACAAAAATCACTTTTTGCTAAGTCGTGCATCGCAAGATAAAAAAAAAAGTGAGGGAATCGGAGCGCAATACCTCAACGCCACGATCCACCTAGTTGTGCCACATGCGACAGGCGGCTGCGCAGAGCCTTAGGCCTAATGAGTTTCTCGGCAACATCCGGCATCCACTCAGCACCCAGCCTAGATGGAGAAGAGGCAGCCACGAGGAGAACATCCACTCTGTGAGGTGGCCTTATTGCTCGCCACACACAGCAGCTTACCGAGCGATCGGCGTCCACCACCCCGGGGGGTGTCACGATGCCCCAGCGTTGAGCCACAATACAAGACAGCAACGACGCCCGGCTCCCTGAACCCCAAGTGATAGAAGAAGCTATTTACAGAAAATCGGACCACCCACGAGGCTTCTGTACTTACTCGCTTCGGGCCTGGCCTATAAACCACGTGCTCTAGGCCTTGCTCACCCCAAGATGCAGACAGCATGGCTCTCGTTCCAATTCAACAACGGTTTTGAAAACTAACACCAACAAAAAAGAACAACACTTGTGAGCAAAAAAAATGAAAACTCAACCTGCCGACAAATTCAAACATGTTACAAATCGATCTCCTCGCTTCTCAACTGAGCACACCGCCGACGCTAGCAAGAAGTCCCCCAGGTCTACTCTATGCCGGCTCTAAGAAAAGCTTGTACCGAACCGTAAAAACTGTCGTCTGGCACTTTAAGAGCCCCAGGTTGGATGCCAGTGGGGCTCTTCGACTTCTTACTTCTGGCTACCCGCGGGCTGCCAGAGCCAGCCAGAGCGTGCTCGTTTTTCTCGAGCTGCTCCCCCCCCCCCCCCCCCCCCCCCCCGCGGCGCACTTCCGGTTGGCAGTTCGTTTTTCTCGGGTTGGACGTTCTGGCGACCCGTGGGGAGCCCGGGGGTCGCCAGACGCTTCCAGGACAATTTAGTTGTGGAAGCTTTCTGGGAGGTTTTAGGCAGGTTTCGGGCTAGCAGACGCCGAAAAGGTATGATGCGCGCTCGGTGCCATCTTTGTGAGGACTCCGGGGATTGTAATGTGGGCGCTTGAGGACTGCGCCTTCGCTTGTCATTACGCGTGGCGTTATCTTCTAAAGCCTGTTCCGCCTTGCGAGATGAGGTGATTAGGAGTGGTGGCGAAAGTTTGAAGGTACTGTTCATCGCATTTGTTATGTTTCCCGTGAAGCTTCCTCCTGTGAACAACGCGGTGAACTGTGGCCTTTTGACAGCGTCGTGCACATGCCTTAAACGTTGTACGTAGTACACGTTCGTACGCACACATGGAGACAACTTTGGAGTTGATTTTTTTTTTTTTCGTAGTAGTCGTTTGTGAAGCTGTGCCTGCTTTCTGTGCTTTCAGCGAAGACGATTGTCATCGAACGAGCTCGCTCCGTCATATGTCTGCGGACGTGAGCCTTTTGGAACCTCTGTCCTAACTACACGATTGATCTTTGATGGCGATAGAAGGCCCTAGGTCGCGACTGTTGGTGATGCTCGCTGGTCGCGAATGGCGTGATACGGCAGTGAAAGCGTTCCAGCATTTTCATGGGACATGCAACGAATGAAAGCCAAAAGACGCCGGATGACTACACAGAAGCAGTGCATGCCTTTCAGTTGTCCTTCAACGGGTTGCGATTGATGCACGACTATACGCATTTCAATATGGGCAACATGGACCAGACAATGGTCCACATGGACTACCCGGCATCTCGAACAAACAACATCATTGGGAAAAGTTATGTCCGGATCGCCAATACTGGATGTGCAAAGCGAGGATTCACAGTCGCGCTCGCTGCCTGCGCGTCGGGCCACAATCTTCCGGTCTTCGTTGTCTTGAAGGAGCCGAGCGGCAGGATTACAACGGAAGCTTTCACGAAAATCTGTGTACCAGGTGGGTTTATATTTCTTTTTATTTCCTTTTTCGTGGGGGGTAGCGAGATCACGCTATATTATTTTCTTTTTTACAGTGAACGCTCATGTGACAGCGTCGAAGAACAGGTGGATGACATCCGAAAAATTCCAGGAGTAGCTGTAACGGGTGTGACAACGTTAGGCGGTCGTTGGTATTAGACCAAGCTCCTATACACAAAACACAGGCAGGAAAAAATGCCGTGGAGGAGCGAGATACAGACATTGCATGCCTGCCGGCTGGATGCACAAGTCTATTGCTGCCAGCTGTCGTGTACTGGAACCGGTCCTTCAAAGCCAGCCTTCGAAGGAGCTGGTAATAATTCATGCGCATAGCAGAAAGAACTCCGCAAAAAAATTGCGAAAACTGTCACGTCAGGACGTACTGAATTTTGTGGCAGCAGCTTGGGACGCTGTACCAGAGGCGACCATTATTGAGAGTTTCAAGGGCTGCGGAATATCGAATGCACTGGAAGGATCAAAGGAGGTCCTTCTACATGGCCAGTTGTCCGGCGTTGGCGACATTCGTCCAGAACATCCTGAGGAACTGCAGGCTGAATGCTATAGCTTGTTGTTTGACACAGACTCTTACGAGTCCTTTGATGGATTTGAAACTGAATAAGCAATCATTGAAAATTTTTGATAAAGCTTTTGTTCACTCTGTAGATCGCCCTAAAAAGCCTTTGTCATAGTTTAAAAAAAAAACGGCCAGCCGCCATCTTAAATTTTGCAGCACTTCCCAGCATGTGCCCCCTCCCCTTCACCGCGGTCATTATTATCACCTAGAGGGGGGGGGGGGGGTGGCTGAATTTTACGGTAGAGTAAGTGACGCCACCTAGGATAATACAACAAAATGCAACACTACACAGAGGACTCCTATGAATATTCTTGTAGGATAGGAACGTGAATGTCTTTGGTTTGCTTTGGGAAAGAACCAGGCAACGGAGAGACCGAATTATGTTGATTCACATGATCTGGTGCAACCAGTGTAGTGTCAACAACACTTTCAATGTGAAAGAAAAGACTATTTCCTCAGCCTCTTCTTTTTCTGCAACTTCTGCCGAGACCAAACTGATGAAGTGGACAAGGCACATCTGCCAAATCTCCCGGATTGCCCAGTAGACTCCTCAATTTGGACTGTTTCTTCTGTTTGTATGGTTGTCATGAAAATTTTCTAGAAATCGAAATTGCTGTTCGTGATCTGGCTGCATTGACAAAAATGCAGGTCAATTCACTGCAAGCTTTTTGAAACCCACTGCATTTTATTATAAACAAATGTAGGAGGCGTTCATCCAAACGTACAATACAATCTCGGTGATGCTGAACCCTGGCAGGTAGAAATTCTTAAAATTCCCTGGCCAAATTGTACTGTGTTCACTGGGCCAAAATTCGCATGTTCCGAACACTCTTCTTAATCGCGGCAGGTGATATGAACTTTATTACTGAAACCGTCGAACGAAAGCCAAGAGCAGTGTGCTCGAAGCTTTGGAAGTGCGCGTGCAACCAGCGCATGCACTGTCTTCTACAGTGTGTGTGGTTGTCGTTACCACAACCTCTGTGGACGAAACCTCAGTTGTTCTTGACACGATCATGTATGGCAACGACGTTACTGACAGTCTTCTGCAAGTGTGTGTGTGCGTTCAACGCTCAACCAGTCCAAGCAGCACTGCTTTCCGCAAGCATTAAGGACAAAACCGGGGCAAATGCCGTCATAGGTAGCATAAAACGATTTAGTTTTGAAGGCACTCTAGTTCACATGTATTGAAAACGCAACTACCGTTTGCTGCAACCGCCGCGCACAAAACCACAGTCCCAAAGACGCGATAGCGATCTTCGAGTTCTGAGGGCATCCTGTACACGTCAATGTATAAAAACATCTGAAATTTCACACACTGACACCCTCTGGCATCTGATCTTTCCAACTTTCTGCCCGAATTGCTGGTTCAGAGCTACATTAATTGAAGCCCCCGCCTCTGCCGTGCCTATCATCTCGGGAAGATTCGAACTAGCGCGTTTGAGGATCAGTTTAAGACTGTAGCAGTGTCCGAAAGACAGCTTTGCCGCAATGCCAAGGTCGGATGGGCTGATGCACATTGAAAATTTAAAGGAGTTACTGGTTGTGGTAAAGTGCAGTGGTCTTTTTTCCCACCGTGTGCCTCCCGTTCTATGAAAATATCCATTTTTGCTCTTTGATGTCCCCGAAAGTTATAACTGAGTGTCGTGTCTGCTGCAGAGCATGTCAGTGTAACAGTTGCACTGTGTGAAACGGCAAGATGCAACTGATCATGGTAGGAAACGAGGTAGAGTATTACGGCATGTGCAGAATTTAAGAATGCTGGTGTACCGTGCTATTGATGTGCATAAAGATGTCCAAGTTGATCACAGTTGAATTTAGAGCCTTCAGTGTTTCGCAGTTCAGGTGGTTTGACGAGTAACCTCGGTTGTGTGCAGGCGTACTCTGTGGCCGACCTTCTTCACTACTCGGTGATAGTGTGCAACCAGATCTGCGCCCACCTCCAGATACCGCTGCTGCGGATCGTGCCCAAGTATGCTGTGGGCATCACCCCTGCCTCCTCCTCGTCGGTCTCCTCTGACAAGGTTTCGGCTACCCAGTCACAGGCTGGTAAGTGGTCGAGCTCTTTTCTCTAGCGTTTGGATGCCTGGCAAGGACCATAGGCACTTTTTGGCTGGTTCCCACAGTGCTCCCAACTTTGTGACAGTGTGAAAAAGTCTTGCGACTTTAGATGGAGAAAGCGTGCCCAATTTGCAACTTGTGCACCAACTAGCTCAGCTCTGTCATTCTAATCTTCGTTTTTCCTTGTTGAGCACCAGCCATCGCATGCCCGCTAAGTTCGGGCTAGTGAGTGTTGTTTGGAGAACCACTGCTAATTTAGAACACCAGCCATCACATCATCGCCATTGTCAGTTCTCTGGCATGCATGCTCCAGTATAGCTCAAGTGCTTCCTCGAGGCACCTCCTCTTATCGTGGAAAAACATGTTAGTGCGAAAACTGTAAAAGCAATGGAGCTGTTTTACTTTGATTGCCCTTCTCCTTACCCCCTCCTCGTCCTCTTTCCCTCTCCGACTCATTGCTGTTCAAGACTGTGCTACTCCCTACCCTTCACGCACCTTAAACGCACCTTAAAACGCCAGCCGTATGAGTGAGCAAACCACAGCACTTTATTGAGAGGCAGTGAAAGCAGGAAAGTTCGAAAGAACATCATGGCATTTTTTTTTTTTTCTGCAAGAAGTGCAGTGAAACCCTGTTATTACGTACCTGCCACGGGACGGCGGTATAACTATGCACTAAAAGTACTACGCATTGACCACCAACTACAAATTTGCATCTCCTGACATGCACTATTGCCGCCAACAAAGGAAGAATCTCAGTGCCACGAAGAATATTACCTAAAATGCCCACTGCAAAGCTTTTTTTTTTTTGTCAAAGTGCAGAAAAGTTTCTTACTCTTGTACAAATGCCCAATAGAGTCAAACCTCAATATATCGAACACGGATATATCGAATTATTGCCTATATCAAACGGTTCCTATATCACGCGGGAAATCGCATGCATTATTGATTTTTTATTTCGAACGAAGCTTGATATATAATGGATATATCGAACTCAGCCACCCCAAACCGCTCGCGCTCCATTGACAGGCGGCGAGCTTTCCCGCAAATCTCGAAAGTAGGGGTAGAGCGGCAAGCGTTTACGAATGCTGCACACATCGATGGCGCCGAGAGCGTCATTTTAACGTAGCGGCGTACACGCGCCGCAGCCTTGCGGTAGAGGTTCTTGAATGAGGAAAGTGAAGAGAAAAGCGTGGAGCTGTTATTTTCTTTCAATACGAAGGCACCAACACGGCTTCGCGCAGAGGAAGGGGGAGTGGGAGGTAAAGATTGAGGAGGAAAGTATAGGAGGGAAAGGACGCAGACGACTTTCTCGGACGCGGCCCGCGCTGCCGCCGGGAAAGGGAAAGCAGTCAGGCGAGCCGGCATGGGCAAGCCATGTGCGCGCTTTACACCCGTACTCACGCTGCAGCGTTGCAGCTTGAAGTCGTTGCAGTCTCTCTGGTGTCAACGGCACACTGCACACTTAATGCAAGCAACTCCCCCGTAGCATCGGCAGGCATCGGTCGTTGTGCTCGCAGTGTTCGTGCATTCGGAGTTCGGCCTGTAGTGCGCGACAGCGCGCGACAGACCGAACGGCGGAGCTCACGGATGACAGAGCTCACGGAACGGCGGAGCTCCGAACGGCGGAGCTCACGGATGTGGAGATTGTCGCCGAAGCTACTGCTGAACAGCCAAATGAAGACTCTGCCGAGGTGGATCCCGCAAGCGCTGATAGTGCCCCGCTCCCGACGTCAGCTGAGGTCGTAGCTGTCTTGGCCCTTGTGCGCCGCAGCCGCGATTGAAGGCACCGGCCTATCACTTATGGATCGCCTGGACTATATTGAGGACGCAGTCGTCAAACACACCATGGCCAACAAAAAGCAGGCTACTCTCTTTCAATATTTTAAACCAACACAATAAATACTATGTTTGAATCTTCAAGTGAGTATTTACTGCACCACGCTTGAATGGTTCGTTGGTTGTTTTCAGCAAGCTGTTGATGCATTTTTTTTGTGATTTTTTTATATCGAACTATTTCACGATCGCCACGCCGTTCGATATATCGAGGTTCGACTGTAGTACACGGTGGTGACGCTGATGAACATTTAGCAAACTACTGCGGGGTCTGTGATACGCAGTGTGGTACAGGGACAGACCCCATCGGTTGTTTGTGATACAGTTGTTCCACGATCCACTTCTAAGCCAAAACTGACACAGTTTTGTTTATTTAAACGCGGAATGGTAGCAGGGAGCCAAATCGTTTACTGCATGGCTAGTTGTGTTTAGTGCTTCGCTCACTCGGTGCACACTGTGACAGCCGATCCGCTTGCTGTAGAGTACGCCCTCTGCACTTCAGGCCATGCACAAATGCGGCGAGGAGCCTGCTGGGTTAACACAGTGACGACAAGCTTTCCACAAGCAATGCCCTTTTTGCGATGCTCTAGCAGTCCTAGCAGTGAACGGAGGTGCGTTTAGGCTGTCACTGAATAGGAACGTGCAGCATGGTTGTGCTCACTGTACGGTGAGCGTGTTGGCGTAATACTTCAAGGTTTTTTGGTGCCTGCGACCCGCAACGCTAAACTCCACGACAGCGAGCTTGCTTGCATTTCTGTAAAGTGGTGCGCGCTTTAATACGGTCCTGCACAATGAAGCGCCAGCGATCTGCGGCCTAGAGTGACGCTACGCCACACGCGTGCCCTAGCAGATAACCGAGAATGCTTACTGTGATAAGGCTTTTCAGGGGTGATAAGTCAAACTGGCGCGTTTGTTGGTGGTTGCCACCTTGCCTTCATTTTTTCCTGATTATTGTTCGCAATGTCATTGCCGCAATTGTGCGGAAGTCTGAATGACTAATCGGCTGATCTCCACACTTATCAACATAATGAAGAATCGTTTACGGCACATTGTGGTGTCTGCAAGTTCAGCAGAGCAGTTAAATTTTGTGGCACAAAATGTTAACACGATACGCAGTTAGTACGCACCAACCACTACGCATAAACCGAACACTACGGACGGCCAAGCGGTCCCAAATGCATTAATTTCTGTGAGGCTTCGTCGGGGATTTGTCGCAACTACGTTTTAACCTTTAATACACTTAAATTGAGTACGCACTAACGAGTTTTGATTGTATTTGACTTCAATAAAGTTCTTGTTCATCTTCACGATCAGCTTTAACTTGTTTTTGGTTCATATGAATTCGGGTTGATACAAATATTTTGCGTTCTTCTTCAAATTCGTATCATCAAAATTCTTCTGTAATCCACACCACCCACTTTCAGCTTGCCAAAAAAAGAAAAAAAGATCTTCACGTATTGCCTGCACATTGCATACAAGAAAGTCTGCACCAATGCTACTGCCCAAGCAGCACAGCACATATATGCAGACTGGTACGAAGTCTGTCCATCATTTATAAAAGTATAGGGCACCTCACTTTAGCTTTGTCAGCTAAAGAAAAGAAGTATCTAGAATCTTCACTTTGACGTTGGCGAGTGCAGATTGTCGCAATCGATGATGACGCGTGCACGAGGCGTGCTGTATCTTAACATGATATGTTTCAGGTTTTTTTCGGTCTACTGTTACTGTACAAATAGCATCTGTAATCGCAAATAAAACAATAATTGCAAGTTAGCACTGTATGTGTGTGGGTCTCTCTTTTTGTGTCCTTGTCGTGGTGCACTATACCTTATAAATGATGAACCTCCACCAACTAGCCCGGCAACGTGCCTTAGCAAGAAGTCTGTAAGCATTGGCATTATGTCATCCACTGTCTGATAGAAAGCCCTTCCATAAAGTGGTGCAGCCATCCGCAGCTTGTATGTAACTCATGAGATAGGCGTAGCTTTCTCCAATTTGTGCCATCTCGATTGATACAGCCAGACCCCTGCTTCTAACGTCTATGAACTTCCTTAGCTGCACCTCCAGCTCAGGGTAGGCGCTGGACTTGGCACCGCAAAACAACCTATGGTCGTGTTACGTAGCTTGTACACTGTTCTCCTTCTTCCAGTGTGGCACGCAAGGCTTTTCCACATCTAAACTTGTACAAATAATGAATTTCATTTTCAAAGCAAATTCAAAGTGAATGGGGATGCTGATTTAATGATTTCGAACCGAATTCAAATAGTATATGTGACATATTATAAAGAGAAATGGGCATATTTGTCTTGGCAATGCCTCCTGAAATAAAAAACAGATATGCCTGTGATGCGAGCTCCGAGCTCCAAAAGCGCTGCCCTACCCCTTCTGTTAACCTCCTTTCTATTCGGTACACTCGCTGGAGCCTCTCATGGCGGCTTCTTGCAACTGTTGGTAACTCGAGCAGACTACACTACCAGAATCGGCGAAAAGATTGCCAGCATTGCTGAAACCAACGGACGAGATGATCGAGCTATAATAGAGCGGGACGTGCTAGTGACGCAACAACATGAACGAGTTGAAAACAAATCTGCGCAAAGAAAATGCGCATTGAAACAAATCAATGCGGGAGGAAAAAGCTGCAACGCCCGTGCTTGTGGAGGTTTTCTTGCGTTGAATTCATTTTTGCTACATGCCCGAATATTTGTTGAGCTTCACGAAAAGAATTGCACATACCTTTGGAGAACAGTTTACGTGACCATTGACTCTAGGCAATTTCGAGAGATGACCAGGCACTAACGCGCAATGCTGTAGTGTGCAATCAGAAGTAACGGACAGGAACGCTGCCGCTAAGTTGCTTGAAAGGAAACCGCTGTCGCAAAAGGTTGCTAAGCTTCACACAAACTTTCTGCAAAGAATTGATTGGTGTTTGTCCAGCTTTCACTCCTCTAATGTGCTTCACGAATGGGCAACCCACATGAAACAGCTAGCTGTGACGCGTTGTAGACATCGTCGCTCTTGCCGGCTCCTGCGGTACAGTCGCTAGCACAACTGCGCAGCACCTGCTCAAAACATGTGGCAGCGTTTCTCTAATAGCAAAGCTAGCGTCACCCCAGGAAAATTATTTTTCTAGGAGGCTCTGGTCATGCTGCGCAATA